TACAAACCTTTAACAACATACAAGTTTTGTACTTAGATTTATATTGGCCAAAATATAGATGTATACAAGGGACTACAAAATCCATAACAAGTGCCACAGTCGAGCTTTGTCCTTAAAGCTAGCCCGTAGGAGGGTCGTCAACAGAAGCTCGTCCAAATGTTCAGGCACCGATATCTAAGCCTACTTTAATTTTGGTACCGGCACCCGCACCATTTGGTATTGGTACCTCTATTTTCTCTATTTTTGACCATGATCCACTTCGAATCTAGAAAAGTGCAAAACATGAAAATTGTAGATCTGGATATCCTCTGTAGTGTGTCAAACGTTCAGCTCAATCGGACGGTTGGATCAAAAGTTATGACAATTTTACGAAAATGGTCCTGAGTTGGCACCTTCCAAAAGGTTTTGCCTACTAGAAAAAACCTTCTGGATGACTTGCTTCAACCTTCTGGAAGGTTTGGCCCAGAACAACCAGAACACCCTACAACTCAAGATTTGCGACTTTGGGGTCCTACCTATGATTCTCTCACTTGTCCCCTAACATATTCTACATACATACATGTCTCCTACACCCTAAAGTCACCCTTGGAAGATGGGGAATGGGAAAGGAGGAGAGAGAAGGATGGAGGCATAGTGGGTGCAAGCTAAGCTTGTCCTAGCCTGTCCAATGCATGAAATCACCTCCTATGGATGGGAGGTCTGCTCTCACAGCTAGAGGAGAGGCTAATGGACGAAAATGCATCAAGTCTACACCATTTTATTCAACATTCACACAAGCCATTGAGAAGGGAGAGGAGGCTACCTAAGCTTAGGAGTAGTTTTAGAGAGAGAAAGCTTGATTTTTATATTTCTTTACCATTTTCAGTGTTGTAAGCATTAAATTACTTGTAATCTTCCCCATTTCCACTTTTAATTCTTTTCATTTAAGTTGTATGCAAGTTTAGCTAGTTGTTTTAACATTTCAAGTTTTACATTGGGGTATTTGCCTTCAAACTTTGTATTTTGGTTATGAATGTTATTTCTCTTGTAGTTTAACTCTTTTCTTGCATTAATACTAGTTCCATGTTTCATTTCTTCATCATGTCTATTTACATTATGCATGTCTTTCCTTTTATTATGAGTAGCTAGATTTTAGTTGGTTAATCCAAGGGAGATTTCCTCTTGGGTATGTGAAATCAACCCTCGTTCATTCTTCCTTATAGTGAAAGGTGGTTTGGTTTGACTAGGTTGAGTGCGGATATGGTTGTGAGTTCTTGATACACCGTAGACTTATCACGGGGTGTGCTTGAGCCCTTACTTCCATTTTAGTCCTTCACTTCCTAAGAACCAATCGAACACCTATGCACTATTGGAAGATGTTGAGTTGATTTGGCATTCCCATTGGAATAAACTCTTTGGATTAGCCAGCATTGTTTCCATTACATCTTTATCAAAATCTCACTCACTAAAACACAAACTCAAAGATTTTACACTTTTTCATTTTTTCACAAAATCACCTTCAACACAATTCACCTTCCTTCCCTGAGGAGATGACCTTAGAATACCCATTCCAAATAAAACACGACATTGCAAGACTCTCTCTACGCTTGGGGAACAATTTTGCACACACACACATTTTGTTCATTCACACACGTTTTTCCCATTTTTTGCATCGAACCCGAGTGAAAGTGACACTCACCTATCCATATAAGTCATACACACATGACCGGGTGATGTTCGGAGATTAGGAACATGGAATAAATCAAATAGGTGTACTCAAAACCAGAGGTGTGAGACCTCAAATGCTATGTGGGTGTGATGGACCATTGGTGTGAGACCATAAATTTATCTACCCAAAAAATACACAGAGTTGATGAATGGTCATTAGATGTCTAACATCAATGGTGAATGTTTGGAATGCCCGAATGCATACGCATGGCATGATGTGTTATGGGAGGCGGTGGAGGGCTCGAATTGAAATTTATGTGTGAGTTCCATCTCATGACATGGCACGAAAAGGGTATCATTCATTTATGAAATTTATGTTCTTGAATGAATGATTTATGCGATGAATTGTATATAACATTCATATGCATCTAGGTTGGAGAGTAGTCTCCTTAGGAGATACCCTATTGACCGTAACTCACTCTATATAGGAATATATTTTAGGTGTTGGATAAGCATTGGTGGACGGCCTTCACTCGGGCCCCTTTTGACAACAAAGGCGGAATGTGGATTTTAAATTACATTTTGTAAATCAATTATGTAATTTGTTTTAAACTTGTAAATTTTTTTAGAAAAAATCAAGGCTCAAATACTAGGACCTAATTGATTTAGTACCGGTATCACGCTATCGGATGACCCAGCTGCCGGTACCTAGATTCCAGTGGACTCAGGTGCAGGTACCTAGGCCTCAGGTACCGGTACCACGTATCAGAGGTACCGAAACCTCCTCCTAAAATTTGAAATTTTAAAACGTAACACTGAGGGGCATTCACTTTTTGAACGACCCTCTATGGATGATATAAATGGATAATAATAAATCCTAATTATTATCTATTTGGACCTTGGAATGGCCATTTTATTAAATGTGTACACAGGTCATGTGTTAGGTAGTGCTCCGATACAAAAGAGACTCTACCCAAACTCTGTTTTGGTTACGATCCTAGTGAAGGGGATATAATTGTTGCAACGAAAATCCCAAGAATCATTGACAGCGCGTATGTATCGAATACAAAAAAATTCCCTTTAAAATCTTACAAGGCGGAATTAAGATTTACCTTCGAGATCGTTCTAGATTGATCTCATCTCAACATAAACGTAGAAAACAAAAGACAGACGCAGAAGGTAGCTTGCTAAACCTCACGATCTTCTATTGTATATCCCCCAACGCCCAAAATCCAGATATAGTGTGGGCTGCAAGAACCTCTGAACTTCTGGTATCTCTCTCTCTCTCTCTCTCTCTCTCTCTCTCTCTCTCTCTCTCTCAGCCTCTTTCAAAACGTGAGTAATGAATTGATTCTGATTTAAAAAGCCTAGACGTCTATATATAGGCTGCGATAGAAACCCTAAGGAGAAATAAGGGTCGAGCTTTCAATAGGCCTAGGATTCTTATATTCAACTTAGAACAAACATCTTACCGTCCATTAATAATAAGTCAGTTCACTAAAAACTTATTTCTGATCTCTTGAGCCTTATCTCAAAATTATGTTTCAAGCTCCTTATTATTATATGCTTAATAATCTCCCCACATTTTAAGATTAAAAATGTCCATCAATTAAATAAATTACTGAGAATTATATTTAATTAATTTTTTTTTCTTGAGACCTTACCATTAAACTTAATTTTCATGTTGGATAATTAAATCCACCTGCAGGGTTTAACATAAACAAAACTAATAAGCTTCCTCAAGAGGATATCATCAACCAATTTAAATACAAGGACGTAATTTCTTTTAATAATTAATTTTCATCATACAAATAATATCGTCTCCCAATTCACCGAGCTTATTAACTCAATATGAATCTCACTCTTTGATGAATTAAAGTGACAAACATTATATATAAGTGGCAATTAACATTTCGAGATTAAAGAGCATAAGTAATTATAATAATCATAAGGTATTTATTATTTTATTGAATCAATAAAATATAATAACCTTAACATGAGTCTGTTCAATACACAAAGTGCACTAGTGCAATAATTCAATACATCAAACAGTCTCTTATAGTTAAAACAGACTATATCAGAATATTATACTACAATCATATTGATAGTATGTCCAATTCCATTTAGAATTGTGAACTTATACACATATTATTCAAGGATCTAATAATTTAATCTTATGTGCATAAACCAAACTCTACACACCAAATTATCTACAATGTAAAATATAAGACTTTCATGCATACCATATAACAAATATAATGCAAACATTTTACCCACATAAATTCTTAATAAAATGGAAAGAACAAACTTCTATTAATTAATAAAATGAATTTCACTACAAAAAGTAAGTTTTTAGTATGCAACTCTATCAATAATGACATGATGTCTGGTTATACGACACACACGGATACTTCTGCAAGTTGATAGGTAATCAACAGGTTAAAAAAAGACAGCCAAAATTTGGGACATCACACAACACCACATCCTCGCCTCAAAGATGGAGGATCTCCTTTTGGTTATCCTCGAAGTGATCCATTCTTGTTCCGAACTCATTCATCTATGCTTGGAACCCTTGTAGAATGTCACTATCAGACCCTGGCTCAACTGGTGCTTGTTTCCATGCAGGCTACTCTTCTATCCTTCCTCATTTTGTGTCCTATCCTTAGCCTTCCTAATCTCATCCTTATCATTGAATGCATCCCCAACTCCTTCAATACCTTGTCCCTCTTGGTTACCTCCCTCACCTCCATGATTTTTCTCGAGAGAAGTGGTATCCAAAAAACCCAACTTTTTGCTTTCTCCCATGAATCATCAACTAATACCCCTTTCCTCCTACATATATCGGTCACAAACAGTCCATAAGGAAGTGAGGGTTTTTTCCTTTACAAGTTAAGATCATTTGATCCATGATAAAATTAGGCAAGTCAATGGAATGCCCCACCCTTAGAGAGTACAACAGTTTGGCTCTATTAATTAAATTTTGATTTTTATGGCTCTTAAGCATGATGTTATTTAGCACAAGGAGGTTGCAAATTTTGTACTTGTCTACCAAAACCTATTCCATGTCCCTGAATAAAATAGGATTTCCAGTCAACTCTAGCCCAAACATTCATATTTTTGAGCATATGTTATCATAATAGCAATTTTGCAAACATTTTTTCATGCCTGTTACCTTTATTGTGTTAGCCGCAGAAGAGACAACACAAATTCTATCCACAAGAAAATCATATTTCGGCTAACTATTAGCCTTCAGCAGCAAAGATTGAACAGCTGCAACAAATGAAGTAACTACTAAGGATCAGGCACTTGTACAAGCTTTTGTTTCAAGTAGAATGAAGCTCCAGTAAACCAAGTAGTCAGGTTTCCATGTGTGGTCTCAAGAAAATTCAGAATCACAAAAATTTATATAGTAATTCTAATATCCACACAATATAACTTACATGAATGCCTTCACAAACTTAAGCATTCTTGTGATTTCAAATAGATTTCTTGTTGAAAACATACAGACAGAACACCACAAAATGGGAGAAACAAAAGAAAATATCCCAAAATTTTTAACACTTATCATATTGTCCTCAAAAATCCACGAACTTCAATAAGAAAATTGTGTAGATTCTTTCTGAACTTCTGGTAATTTGTGCGATCAAGCGTCGAAGAAAGGTGGTTTGAGTTTGTGAGAGATTGCAATGCATTTGTCAACCTTAATCTGAATGTTGGATTTGACTGCCTTTCTATTAACTCATTGCACAATCTCTGCAAAAAAAAAAAAAATACCGGTGTAAAATATCTCAAGTGGAAAAACAATTACTTACTCTAATTGTCATTGGAAAAAATTAGAAGTAATACCTGGTAAAGACCCTGTTCACAAAGGATCAATGGTAGGAGAGCTTCTGCTGCAGTGCTGACTAGATCAGTGCTGGAAACACAAACAAAAAATATCATCAAAAGGTCATCAAGAGAGCAACAAGTTGATGAAAACATAATTGGTATAACCAGATTAAGAAAATGATTTCTTGGAGAGACGTCTTGATCATTGCAGAGGTAGTCAGCTTTGTCCTACTATATGACTCATTTAACTGCTTTCACTGGTTTTGTTGTTCTTTCAGAGAGTGTGGTGAACCTCGGCTAATATTATTCAAGTTCAATATTAGCATTGCCTCTAACCTGTAATCCTCAAAGAGGAGAAATTTCATCAACGAACGAAGGAATTGGTTCAGAATGCCTTCTTGACAGTTTCCATCACGGTCCTTATAAACTGTAGCATGTGAACCTAACCCCGCTTTACCTGCACCCGTTTCCTTGTAGTGGTAGGAAGCAAGTGCTTTCAGAGATCTCAGACACATGTCAACAACTTCTATGTCCTGTATTATTGTGGGAACAAAAAAATACTAAGAAAATAAATCGGGAAAAAGCAGAGTCACACATTCTAGACTTACATCATGTTTGGTAAGGAAGAAAAATAGGAAGGATGGAAAAGTGAATGGATTAACTTTCTTTCCAACTTACCAAAATTAATCTCTCCAAAATCAGAAAAAAAGTAGATGAAAAATTAATTATTTGTGTTGAGATGTATCTTATTTGTCTATATATCTTTTGATATATACAAATATTATGTATACATTAATTTCATATAAAAATACAATGATAATATAGGTATATATATATATGTATTAAAAATAAACTTTAAAAATTAAAAATTAAAAAAATAAAAATTTAAATTAAAAAAATATTTCATCTTAACTAAAGGTGAAAATTTTTGACTCAACATGATGACATTACTAGAACTCGACACGAATTTTATGACACGAACTTGATTATAACTCAACACGAACTTGAAAATGACCTGACACGTGAACAAAAAATATCAAAAACTCATTCAATTTATCCAGTCAAACTCAAAATTGACACCATTAACCCGTTTATTTAAAAATAAACACTTTTTTTTATTTTCTCATTTGTATGGTAACACGAAATTAATACAAAACTAAAATGTTTAACTAGTATTATAGACATAAAATGTTAATTATTTGTACCTATTTATTAAACACAGACATAATTATTATATAAAAAAGATATATTTACTTATTATTATATTTATTTAAATTAATTTTGAGTTTGTAGAAAAAAATATTAACATGAAGTCAATTAAATGAAAATAAAATATTAACGTTAAATTTTTTATTCAAAGTTTATACTGGTCAACACGAATTCGAATACAAACACGACACGAAAATAAACAAACCAACTCGCAACTCGACATGATACAATTAATTAAAAGAGTTTATTTATGTTTGACTAATGTTCGACACAAATCCGTAATGACTCAACACGAATCTTACACGATACGATTCAATTGCCACTTCTAATCTTAGTTAGCACAAAAAAAAATAATAATCATTTTTATTTTCCATCAATCCAATCAAACACAAAATAAATTAAGTGTATCATTCCTACGTTCTTTTCTTGAATGATTGAAAGTGTATCTCTCCTACTTTCCATCATTTCTACCAAACAGAGCATTATTGTATGATAAAAGGTCGTCAACAATTCTCTTGTAATAAAATAAGTCATTGAATCACCATGCATGGGTAGCAACAGATCGCAATCAACAAGATGCAAAATCCCTCCAAGCACGTCCACCAACATACGTGTATACAAATCAACATCATGTAAACTAATACATGGCCGCAGATGGGTATCACATCAGATTCAGAGGGCAGTCATTTACCTGATGATGAAGACCATAATCAAGAGTTCCAATAACATGAGCAAAGGATTCACTACTTAGTTGTGACACCATTTCAGGATAGACCTCCAGCAAATAAGATAGCAGTGAGAAGTACTGCCCATAGACATACACGGGGCGAAGCCAGAAAATTGCGTCAGGATAAGCACAAATATTTCAACAAATTATTATTATTTTCTTACAATTGATAAAAATAGGACTAATTTCTTTAATTACGTCCTAATACTTAAAAGTTCATTAAACCTACCACACCGAAATTTAGTAAGTCTAGTAAATACAAATGATAACATTTTTTCATAAAATATTAACTAATTAAAATTATTTAGAATTGACTTCAGTAAATTTTTACTTTTAAAACGTTGCATGGCAACTTTATTATTCTTTAGATACATAATCATGTTATCACTTTGGTATTTATAAATCATTTGATCAATTATGTAGTGTAATGTGTACTCTATAATTTTTACCATAATTAGCAAAAATAAATGTCAAAATCACAAGTAAACTAGCGAATATGTATATCATGTTTTTTCAGTTTTAGAAAATATAAAATAATTCTAGTATATTCAAAATTTATCTAAATAGGTACATAACCGGACCAAAATATGTCAAAAAATTCATATTCATTTTATATAAATATACACTAATTGATATGCCAAAATAAATAGGGAGGACATAATTAAAATTATTCATTTGATATAAGTGTACATTAATATTTTTGTCTTTGATTTTAGGTAGGCACAAATAATATATTATACAAATATATAATATACACATCTAAGTAATTAAAAAATAAAAAATTTGAGGGGGGTACTTGCCCACCCTGAACAGGGCTGCCTCCGCCCTTGGACATACAAAATATTAGCTGCCTGAAAACAATACCGGATTACGTAAATTCTAATGGAAAAGAAAGCTCACATCATGACAAAGCTTAGGGTATTTCAGCATCTCCAAAGTTATAAGAGGGTTAACCATGTGAAGACCCATGTGCACCACCTGCAAGACAATATGATAAGAGACCATCCACCGATGCTGGTGCAAAAGTACAACATCAAGATATACCTGAGAAATATTTGTGCCATGGGTCTCAAGGGAATCTGATGAGAAGTCAACCTGCAAATTTCATTTTTCATCGACTGGGCTATTGCAAAGGCTAATATTAGCAAAATAAATAAATAGAAAAAATTCATTATGAAAAGAGAAGCTAAAAATGTACCAGATCCTTTGAACAGAGATTTGCAAGGAGTTGTAGAAGAGCTCGCAAATCCCTATATTTTTCAGTATCTGCCTCAGTCTGTAAGCTGCTTGAAAGGCTAACTGATATCTGAGAAGGCAATGAAATAACAGAAGTCAACAGCCAATTACAGATATTAGAAAACAACCTTGGTAGAGTATCTCCCGGATGAGTAAAAACTCATCCGCTTGTGCAAAAGTTCTATTCACCAGCAACAACAGCTGGGGGAGAACTACAAGTAATTAAACACGGTCCTTTCTGACCATCCACAGAGAGACTCCTCTAAACACAAGGCAGAGGGCAATTCCTTTGTTGTAACTCCCATATCTGTATAGAGTGTTTGTATCCCACGATTAGGACATGATTCACAATCTCAGACAAATTCTCGTTCCCATCTCAATATTGGAACCAAAAGGGAGGACCCATAACTTTAGAACATTAAATGTTGACACTGTAATTTCAAGAAGCTTTGCGAGATTATGATGCACTTGCTATTATATGTTCAACAACACAACAAATACCACATCAGTAATCAATGCTGATGGACCTATTTTCCTGATAAACAGCCTGCCGTTAAACAAAAAATAGAGCATAATGGAGGAACATGATTTATGCAGTGCACTCCAAATAGTTGGGACAAGGATTAATCTAGTTGAGTTGAGTAGAAAAGGTTTAAAGTCGTCATCGAATATTAGACAAACCCCATACTATTTCACTCCAGTTCTTGCTCTGTGAAGTTTCAAGCAATTCAGGAAAAAATGTTGAATAGTTGTGCACCCATGGCTTAAAATTAGTTTCAAATGCTTTCGTCATATAAAGTGCAAGAACACCAGAATTGGTTAGGAACAAACAAGAAAAATGCTGTTACCTAGTTTGGCCTGTGTTAGCCATAGGTAGGCCTGTCTATGGATCGGTTTTCATCCGCATTAGATTCATGTATTTATCGGATATTGAGAATTTTAAGCCAGTAATCCAGATCCAAGCCAAATCTATTTAGGCCACTCCAATTGGATTTGAATACGGATATATAGTAATCCGATCCATTATTAATCTGATTCAAATAGAATGAAAAAACAGTATGCATCAGTATTGCATATGTTATATTTCTATGGAAGCATGAAGAAAGAGAGTTAAAAACTCACAACATCATAGCATCTTTTGATTCACTTTTTCTATTTCCATTTTCTTTCCTTCATTTCTCCCATTTTCCGCGTTTCTTTTCCTCCTTTCACTAGTTCCCTATCCAGCTTCATGAACTGGCTCCCTAGGTCTTAACAAATGCCTGCCAGTGCTCCTCTCTCTCTCTCTCTCCACCCAAAACTCATTCCCAACTGTATCCCAGGATCTCTCTTTCGGCGTGTCATCCCTATCCCACTCCTGTTCAGGAAACCCTCTCATTCCCCAGCCCCTCTCCTATGTCTCTCCTATCCATGGATCTGGTTTGTTCATAACAAGCAAGGTCATAAATTGCGGGTGAAGTTCAAGTTCATTGATGGCCATGAAGGACTATCCCTTAGGTCAGATCTGATTTGTTGGTTTTCAATTTTCAGTTAAAATTGGTGGATTATTTGACGTCATTTTGATTTAATTTGGCTGAAATTATTGTTTGACTGATGGAATTGAACTGACATGATCTAAAAATGACTATTCTTGGAATTTGTTGATTAACTTGTACTCGGAAGAGGATTGAATTTTTCAAATCTGGAGAGCAATTGAATTGGATCGGGTTGAATAAAATTTAATCAAGTTCGGATTAGGTTATAGAACAATTACATCCACATCCAATCCGTTGATAGACCTAGCTATATGTATTGAAAGAAGTGGACAAGATACAAACCTGCACTTTGGCATAATTTTGTAAATATCCTTCGATTTGAATCCACAACCTGGTGGTTGTCAGCCCACACATTTTATTAACCTTAGCAATCAAGGATCAAAATATCATTTTGTTTTCACCAAAACATTTGGGATTTTTTGAAATGTTTTGGAATGTCTCAGCCAATGTTGTGCAAACAAAAAGTCCAATTTCTTTTTTTCCTGTTTCCACTTTGTTACAAAATTTCCAAAACTTGTCCCTTTTCAAACTAACTGAAATTATGCACTGAATGATGATGCCCAAATTGCAATAATGACAAAAATGTATAATAACACATGGGAAAACAACTCGAAACAAAGAAATTTTTAAACTATATAAACTTTCTGATAAAGAAATTTTTACAAAAAATAGTAATGGAAGTTTTTTTTTAAAAGGAAAGTAACAATAATAGAAGTTAAGTACAAAGAGTATGATGATCTTGATTCTAAACTAGATACATGTATCTTGTGCATTATGTGATCAATGTGTATCGCTTAAACTGATGCATAAATAGCCATTAGACCAGAAAAGTTAAATTTTACAGTCTTGGGTAACTAAGGAAGATCATACCCAGAAACTAAAGGTGGTTAAATGCCAATGTAAAGATAGATATATCGTTAGAAAAGAAAAAATAGTACTAAAAATGAATATATTTATGAAACCGTAGAAAGTACACTCGATAGGAGATAAATTACGAGAACATCGACTTAAGTAGTTTGGGCATGTTTATAGAAAACCTAGTATTGCACCAGTGAGGAAAAAACACATTGATGGTAATGTGAGAAGTATATGTGAGTCAAATTAATTTGGGGCAAGATAGTAAAAACTGATACGATAGTTCACAGCTTAATGGAAAATGCGTTTATTGATAAAGCAAAATAGAGAAACACAATTAATGTACCCAACCTCAAAGAATTGCGGAAAAGGCTTTTTTTAGTTTGAGAAATGAACATGATTTAGAGCTATATGAAAATATATGATTGCAAAAACCACGAGGGATCTTGTGGAATATTAAACGAGAGATAACTTAAAATATTTTATATCAGAAATAGAGTATGAAATTTCAAGTCTAAATTAGAGTCATATGACCGAGTATAGAATAATATTATTTGACGTATTCGTGAGTAAAAAGGGATACTCAAACTAAGAGTAGAACCCTGTATATATAGCCAAATAATAGTACAAAGTGACCTACACATTTTTGTGGTCTAACCAAATATAAAAGTTATAGTAAGGGTAAAAAAGAGAAAAAGAAACCCTAATAAACTAGACTATACTCCAATACTCCCCCTCAAGTTAGGTGTAAAAATATCAACTAAACCAAACTTGACAACAGAGTCACAGAGAATGGATAGAGTAATAGATTTGGTGAAAACATCCGCAACCTGGTCCCCACAAACAATGGAGCGATAATACCACAGCTAACCTTCTTTTAAAAAAAGTGAACATCGATCTCTATATACTTCGTCCTCTCGTGTAGTACAGAGTCAGAAGTGAACTGAATAGCAGATCGATTATCACAATATAATGTAGATGAAGAAGTCACTGGAAATTCAAACTCACCAAGAATCGATCGTAGCCAGATAATCTCACATGTGTCAAGTGCTAGTGCCCGATACTCTGTCTCTGCTGACAAGCGAGTGACAACCGACTGCTTCTTCCTCTTCTAAGAGATAAGATGAGCCCCTCGAAAAGCACATAAGCCCGTAGTAGATCGATTGTTACACGCTCCCCCATAAACTAAAGGATGACACAGTGCGTAGAAGCATTCCATTGAATAAAGCATATATGATTAGAATAATATCTGGTGACCCCTAAACGTATAACTACACCATTAAATCGAGAGAACCAGACTTGTAGTGATTGTTTCAGTCCATAAAGAGACTTACATCGTTGACACACCTTCCTAGAATTCCCCCCCTCACCACAAAAGCTTGGTAGTGCATCCATATAAATAATCTCGTTTAGATTACCGTGAAAAAATTCATTCTTCTCATCTAACTGATGAAAAGACCAAGAGTATTTTTGTAGTCAGAGAAATAATCAACCTAACAGTAGTCAATTTTGCCACGGGGGCAAAGGTAGCACCAAAATCACGACTTGGTACCTGAATAAAGCTTTTCGCCACAAGTCTAGCCTTGTGACGATCAATAGTACCATTCGCAAGAAACTTCAGAGTGTAAACTAAGCGACAACCAACACAGGCTTCACCCCTGAAGGTAAAGAAACAAAATCCCATGTATTATTACGCTGAAAAACGTCCATCTCCAATTGCATGGCAAGAACCCACTGGGGCTCCCTCATAACCTCTAAAATAGAGTGAGGAACCAACGTCTCTGATAAGGGTATACTATAAGCTCGAAATGTTGGAGACAGATCACCATAAGAAACATAAGCACAGATCGGATATAAAGTCCTGATGGTCCAACCATAACGAACAACTGGACGGCAATCACGCCGCGGATAACGACGCCCTAAATTATCATCCTCCACTAACAATGTCTCATCAGGGAAAGTAACTAACTCTGTACCTGCAATCTTATCAATACTAATAACAGGTGCATAAATATGATTAACAACTAAGAAGTATTATCTGCATTGCCTGAGGTAGAAGGGATATCAATAGGAGGATGAGAGTGAGGGCGACCAACATAAACCTACAAAAGAAGAGAGACTGGTGACTTGGTACTAACAGGGATGAGTGGCTTTGGAGGAAGAGAGACTAACGACTCTATAGTGATAAACGACCAATAGCTTTGGCCCTTGTGGTAACGGAAAATCAAAGGGAGTATCATCAACTGGAGGGACAGACATAAGACTGAAAGAGAAATAAGAAATATGCTAAAGAAAGGTAACATCTAGACTGTGCTATATACGGCGCTTGATAGGATCATAACACCGATACCCCTTAGACTGATGACAATAGTTCACAAAAACACAACGAATCGCTTTATCATCAAACTTATGACAAGTAGAAGACCGATCCTGAACAAAACATATATAACCAAAAACACGAGAGGGGACCAAAAAAAGTGTCCGCTCAAGTGTACGATTGCACAAAAAAGTAAAAGTCAAAACAGTAAAATGCTAATAAAATTTTGGTACCCCCATACCTCTAAACATACAACGTACCATCCCTATTAGACTCCTATTTTTTCTTTCAGTAATTCTGTTTTGCTTAGGAGTATATGGACAAGTGAGCTACTGAAGGATATCCTAAAAAGAAAGGTGAGACACTAAGGCATCAAACATATATTCTTTGGCATTATTCGAACAAAGAGCACAAACAATGACATCGAATGCAAGGGCCATCTGGTCAACCGGAGTAGTCAAGGCCGCAACTGGAAGTGATGCAATACTAACGCGGTGCTCATACTGCTCAATCATCGCATACACCTCAGAAAGGGACGAAAGCCTCATCATCAACAAGATCTGTGAACGAGATCCCTCAAACTCATCACAAAGCTCCATAAGAAACTTGTAAATTCCATCCTCCTGCTTTTGAATATGTAAGAATGCCACTCCCTCCGGGCTCTATCATCGAAATAGCAGCAAAAGGACGTAGAGTCTCATACTCAAGTCAACGCTGGGAATACATCTCCGATAATGCGCTCCATAGTTTCGAAACAAAGATATGAAACTGGTGAATCCTGCAAACAAAGGGCTCCATCGAGCTAAATAACCATCCAAGAATAGCACAATCCTCAG